CTGGTGGCTCCCGGTGGAGGGCTTGTGACTCCATCACTCCCACCTCTGCCTCCGTGGTCACATTGCCTCCTTCGATTCTGTACATCTTCTCCTCTGTTCCTGTACCATCTCCCTTTGCTTCTTTCTTATAAGGACACTCCTGATGGCAGTTAGAGCCCACCCAGATAATCCAGGGTAAACTCATCTCAAAATCCTTAATTCCATCTGCAAAGACCCTTGTTCCAAATAAAGTAACATTCTCAAATTCCAGGGATTCAGACCTGAAATCTTTGGGTAGCCATGATTCAACCCATTACACGATCTCTCTGAGAGCCCCCACCCCCATCCTTTTAAAGGTCCCTCTATTTTGCTAAAATTGGAGAAACTCTAGTTTCCAAGCTGGCTCCTTTGCAGGTCCTGGGATATTTCCAGCTGGCCAACTTCCTCTGGGGATGTTCATTTCCTCCCCTGCCCACCCTACCAACCACCTCTGTCAGAGTCACTGGGGGAGATTTTTTTTTTTGGTGAGGTAGTTGGCCTTGAACTAACATCTGTTGCCAATCTTGCTCTTTTTGCTTGAGGAAGATTGGCCCTGAGCTAACATCTGTGCCCATCTTCCTCTATTTTGTATGTGGGACGCTGCCACGGCAAGGCTTGATGAGGGGTGTGTAAGTCCATGCTCGAGATTCAAACCCACATACCCTGGGCCACCAAAGCGAGTGCACGAACTTAACCACTACACCATCGGGCCAGCCCAGGGGAGATTTTTTTTTTTAATGCAGTACCCCATCCCCCACCCTAAGATGTTCTGATCCTGTAGGTTGGACTCTGGAAACTAATTTCTAGAATTCTCTCCAGTGATTCTAATGTGCAACTGTTTTGAGAATCATGACTTTAGAGAAATGTGCCACGTGAATGAATGAATGAATGAATGATGTCCTCAAATACATGGCTCCTCTAATTGCTGGCTTTGCCTCCATACTCAACAAACAGCCTTCAGATTTGGGATGGGGCGGGGAGGCGGGCAGGGGTGACCCAACTATATGGCAGAGTGTAGACCACAGTGCTGCTTCCTGCTGTATTTGCTGAGGACCTACTGTGTGCTGTCAATTAACCTTCTGGTATCTGGTCCAGAGGTGGGGACAATTTATATCCTGTCCATTCTAGACAGGGATCTGATTTCTGGATGTTGAAGACTGAGGACAAATCTGGTGACTGTGCCAAGGTTACAAGTGTCACCTGGGAGAGAAGACTTCGGGGACTGCCCACCCACCTTGCTCCCCACTCCACCCCACCTCAGGCAACTGGGCAAATAAAGGAGGCTTCCAAGGGTGGGGTTGGAATCTAGGGAACCCGAGTGAGTCAAAGCTTGGCTCTGCCATTTCCTGGCTGTGTGACCTTCTTTGGCCTCAGTGTTTCTCATCTGGAAAATGGGAATAACACTTGCTCAGGAGGGGGTGTATGGATTAAAATAGAAAATTCACAGGGGCAGGGGCAAAGTAGATGCTCAATAAAAGTGAATTATCATCAGTGTTATGACGTTCCGGGCTTGTGGACACACACAAATGTGCAAGCTGTCACGGAAAAAGAAAACTGTGATGGATCTGCATGCACTGATTCAGAAAGACTTCAAGACATGCTATTCAGGGAAAAAAGCAAGTTTTCTAGCAATAGATCTAGTGCAAGCCCCTCATTCATTCATCAAATATTTTGAGCACCTACCCATGCTGTTCTAGACGCTGAGAATTCAGCGGTGAGCCAAACCAGACAAATATCTCTGCCTTGGTGGGGCTAATGCTCTAACAGGGAGAGACAATAAATAAATAAGAAAATACCAGGAAGTGATAAGTACTGTGATGAAAATAATTCAGAATGATGTGAAAAATCCCCAGGGGGTAAATTCTAAAATTACTAAAATATACTAATGTAAGCATTTGTTTTTTCCCTGAGAGATATTTAACTGTGGTTACTTTAGTGGGAGAGGCTGGGGGCTTGCGGCTGGGGGAGGGAGACGTTTTTCATTGTACACCTTTCTGTAACTTAAGAATTTTCTTCGCATATGTGTGCATCACTTTTATTATTATTATTATTGTTAAAAATGGCAACCAAGTGGAGCTGGGTAGAGAGATTTGGGCCAAGTTTTGTTTTCTTCCCTCAATCTTTTCTGATTTTTCGTTTCTTTTAAACAAATAGAAAAGCAGGAGGTGTAATTATCGTGGGTTTTTTTCCTAGGACGGCTAGAGAAAGATCTTGCCCGCCAGCGATCTGGGAATCTCAAACACCCCCAGCAGAACTGCTCAGGGGTTGGCAATTTTTATAAGCATGTTGAACATTTGAGGTTTTCATTTCTAGGATAATCCTTCCTTCTCCCACCAAAAAAAAAAAAAAAATCCTTTTACCAATATCTCATCTGGGAGGTCTTTCCTGCTTGGGAGGTGGTGTCTTTATTTCTCAGACCTGGATTCTTTAGCCAGAATTTCTCAAACGGGTGTCCTAGGGACTTTTAGTTTGGGGCTTCTGCGAAGCAGCTGTTCAGGGAAGCAGATTTTGGGGATCAGGCGGAAGGAAGGGATAAGAAGCGGAGCAGAGGCTCTGCCCCGCCCCCGCCCTCCGCCCTCCGCCCTCCGCCAGCGCCCCGCAGTCTCAGAGAGGACTCGCGCCTAGCAACGCGTCTCCTCGTTGCCATGGAGACGGTTAGGAGGCGGGGCGAGAAACCGCGCATCAGGGAGGGGCCGGGTGGCGGGAGGCCCCGCGGGAGCTGAGTGCGGGGCTGGGATGGAGCCTTGAGAAGGAGGAGGAGAAAATCCGGTGAAGCCTGACGGCCCAGCTCTGCAAAAACGAAAACAACCCGAATGAGCCGATAATTGTGCAAAGGCCTCCCTGAGGCCTTAACCGCCCCTCACCCCCCAAGCATCTCCCTTCTTTTCCTCTTTCCCTTCCCTTTCTTTTGTCTCCCGTCCCTCTGTCTCTAAACATCTGCCTGGTTCCTTCAGGAGTTAAATAAAACTACACAGCCTGAGTTAAACAAAATTATACGTGTTCATTTTCATCCCTTATATTAAAGTCATCAGTTGACCTGTTTTGTTGTGGTGGTTGGAATTTTTCTTTTAACAGTTGTATTTCACTATAATTGGCATTTAAAAACTACCCTGGAAAGGGTTCATGGCACAGAAAGGGTTAAGGATTCCTGGGCTAGAGGGCCCTGGAGAGGGTGGAGGCCACTCTTTGAGTTTAGTGGGGAAAAGGGAGGCAGAATGACCTCTCTAAAAAGGTGAGATTAGAGCAGAGGGAGATTGCCAAGAGGAGGTGCGGCAGAACATTTCTGCGTGGAGGGCACAGCACGTGCAAAGGCCCTGAGGTGGGGGACAAGCCTAGTGTGTTGCAGGAACATCGAAGAAGAGGCAGGTGTGACTGGAGTGGAATGAGGGACGAGAGGAAGAGAGAGGGAAGTGGCGAGATCTTGTAGGGCTTCGTGGACCATGGTGAGGACTTTGATTTTACTCTGAGGGCGATGGAGGATTTTAAAGGGAGTAGAGACAGATCTGACTTACGTTTTTGAACCATCCCTCTAGCTGCTGGGTTGGGGATGATGTAAGAAGATGAGAGTGAAGGGCACCCACCTTACCCTCTATCTCTGAGGATTCATAACAACAGGACTGTTCAGCACATCGCAGGACGTCTGGTTCCAAGGAAACCCTCTGTGCAAGTTAACTGTTATTATTACTCTTGCCTTTGTTGTTGTTTCTTTTTCATGAGGAGATCAGCCCTGTGCTAACATCTGCCAATCCTCCTCTTTTTTTTTTGCTGAAGAAGACTGGCCCTGGGCTAACATCCATGCCCATCTTCGTGTACTTTATATGGGACGCCGCCACAGCATGGCTTGCCAAGCAGTGCCTCGGTGCACGCCCGGGGTTCCGACCTGGCGAACCCTGGGCCGCCACAGCGGAGCGCGCGCACCTAACCGCTTGCGCCACCGGGCCGGCCCCTGCCTTTGTTGTTGTCGTGCATGTCTTTGCTGAGCTGGCTGCCTCAGAGTTACCTGGGAAGTTTTGCAAACTCTGGTCCCATGTCTTAGAGATCCTGACCTGCTATGTCTGTGGCTGAGTCTGAGGGCTTTTCGTTTAATTTATGTGAATTAACATTTTAGATTGCTAAAAATCCGAGCAATCCAAAAGAATATAGAGTGGAAAGCATATGTCTCTGCCGCCTCTGGGGGTCCCCAGTCCCCTTCCCAGAAACAGCCACTGTGGGCAGTGCCTGTACATGTGACAAGCGCATGTGCACACCTAGGCCCTACACACAGACACACACACACACACACACACACACACAGACTGTTTCAGATTCAAATCCAGATTCCATCCTCCTTGGCCGTGTGACCTTGAGCAAATGATTTTATATCCTCAGCTATAAAACGGGAAGGATCAACATATTACCTGTCTCATAAGGTTAGGGGGAGGATTTCATGAGTTAATTCATAGAAAGCTCTTAGAATGGTGCCTAGGACATGGAAGTGCCCTGTAAAACATGACTAGCCTTCTTTTTCATAGCTGCGTAGTATTTCACTATCAGATTAGACCATAAAATTGAATCAGCCCCCCCCATGAACAATTAGGTTCATTCATTGGCTCAAAAATATTTATTGAGCACCAACTGTGTGCCAAGCCCCACACTAGGGGCTGGTGCACTAAGACCCTGGTACCAATTTCTCCCCCCACACGTATGGGGTAGGTACATAGGAATTGCGGGTACCAGAAGTCACGCGATTTTAAGCGGTAATATGTAGCGTGTATGGCCTTCAAAAGGACGGCCTTATTAGCACACCCACCTCCGGCGCTTGGCTGGAACCCGCACGTTTAGGGTGGCAGGTTTGGGAAAGGATGAGAAACGACGGTCTGTGTCGGGAAAGGTGCTGACGTGGGCCTCGGAGCGCGTTCCGCTTGGAAGCGGTGGCCCCAGCGAGGTCCGGGGCGCGGCCACACCCCTGTGCGGGAGGGGAGTGAGGGCGCCCCGAAGGGAGTGGACAGCCCCCCTGTCAGTCTTCCCGAGTCGGGAGTGTAAGCTGAGAAGGGGGAAGGTGGGCCTCGCTGGAGGAGGGCGAGGAGGAACTTCCTGCCCGCGCGCGCTCCTCGGCACTGAGCGCGCGGGCTGGGAGGCGGGACGCGCCTGAAGGTCAGCCTGGCCGGGGGTGGCAGCCTGCCTAGGGGCGGGAGACCCTCCTGGGGGCTGGGCTGCGGCCTCCAAGTGCTTCGGCCATATTGAATAGCCAGCCGTCTTTGTGTGCAAAGTCCTCTCCCAAGTTCCAGGCGCGTCCCTGGTGCCCGGGGCAGGAAGAGCCACGGGCAGCCCGTGCGCCCCACCACGTTGGCAGCTCGCGGTGGGCTTGGAGCTCAGGACTGACCTCACCCCGGCTCACGTAAGCGTCCTGGGAATCGATTCCCACCAGCCCTTGGGGGGAGCCAGACTTGGTCAAGACCGGACTGGTTGCAGGCAGAGAAATTGGGAAGTGTTGGTTCATCCCTGGCTGGGGAGGCGAGACTTTACAGGCTGCTCTGCTGGGACCTCACTCCCACCCCCAAGACTAGGGGCTTCGTGTAGTTTGGGCTCGTGGCCCCCACCCCAGATTTCACCCTGGAGATCTTAAAGACCCTCGAGAAGAGCCATGTGGGGGGCTGGTTCCCTTGGGGCTTCCTCCCCTCCCCCGACTGCCTGATTCTCTGGAGCGTCCCCGATGTCTGCAAAGACGTGGATTTGGACGTCCTCGTGGACGCCTTGAAGCCCGTGGGGACCTTTAAGAAGATCGGCAAGGTGTTCCGCAGGGAGGAGGACTCCACAGTGGGGATGCTCCAGATTGGGGAGGACGTGGACTATCTGCTCATCCCCCGGGAGGTCAGGCTGGCCGGGGGCGTCTGGAGGGTCATCTCCAAGCCCGCCACCAAGGAGGCGGAATTCCGGGAGCGGCTGACCCAGTTTCTGGAGGAAGAAGGCCGCACCCTCGAGGACGTGGCCCGCATCATTGAGAAGAGCACCCCGCACCCACCCCAGCCCCCCCCAAAGCCGAAGGAGCCCCGAGGGAGGAGGAGAGTCCAGCAGATGGTGACCCCGCCCCCCAGGCTGGTCGTGGGCACCTACGACAGCAGTAACGCCAGCGACAGCGAGTTCAGTGACTTCGAGACCTCCAGGGACAAGGGTGACCAGGGTCCCAAAAGCCCGGGATGCCGCAGGAGGGTGCGCAGAATGCCCGTCAGCTACCTGGGCAGCAAATTCCTCGGGAGCGACCTGGAGAGCGAGGAGGATGAGGAGCTGGTGGAGGCCTTCCTCCGCCGAGGGGACAAGAAGCCCAGCGCCCCGCCACCCCGCCGCCGCGTGGCCCTGCCCGTGCCCGTGTTCGACAACAGCCCGGAGCCCCAGCTGTCCAAGGCGGACAGGTGGCGGGAGTATGTCAGCCAGGTGTCCTGGGGGAACCTGAAGCACAGGGTGAAGTGTTGGGCGCCCAGGTCCAGCCCCGGGGGGGGCGAGGCCCAGCAGGCCTCAGCCAGGGTGGAGAGGGAGGGGGCAGCGGCGCTGGGCAGCGCCCATCACGTGGGGAGCGCGGGAGACGGGCGGGTGCCTGGGACCCCCCCAAGGCGATGGAGGCCTAAGATGAACTGGGCCTCGTTCCGGCGGCGCAGGAGAGAGGCAGCCGCATCCACAGCTCAGGTGGCGGAGGCTGCAGAGGATCAGAGGGCGGAGGCTGCAGATAATCAGAGGGCGGAGGCTGCAGCTAATCAGAGGGCGGAGGCCATAGGTGTCCAGAGAGCAGAGGCCCCAGCTGTCCAGAGGGCAGAGGTTGCAGATAATCAGAGGGCAGGGGCCCCAGCTGTCCAG